AAATTAAGATGCGATATCGTCAGTTATAGTAGGTATATATATATTTCAATATTAAATTTTACATACAAAAAGGATTTAAAGCTTCAGTTGAGTTTGAGGAGTGCCTAACATTTATTCCAACAGTTTTGATTTTTTCGAAAAAATGATTGAAAATATATCTGTCTTCTCCAATAAAGTAATTGAACAATGACAAACATTTTTCATATTCACTTCTCAAGGAGATCGAAGCTGTCGACCTAACATGATGATTGATATTCCACATTCAGCCTATTGGGTTCAACACAGATTTCTCAAAAGTCAGTCCGTCTCTGGCACTGGCTGATACAGATCCGCGAGTGCGGTCACTGCCTCTAGGCCCGGTGAGAGGATGTGACCCGATTTTTCACCACCGAATTTTACACAAGAACTCGATGACTACATGTTTGGATGTTGCTCAAGTGGGGAATCAGAAGACACCACTATAAAACCACCGATGAACTTGAAAAAGGTACAAACGTTCCATTTGTCTTTACTTGGGTAACACGGTTACTCGAGCAACGAACATGAGGTCTTACTTGGTAAGTATCTTGTGAAAATTCGTGAAAAGTGCCCTCTGAGCAGTGAATCGTGACAAAAAATAGTGATTTTTGAAAATGTGTTTTCATTGAGACGGATTATTGAAAGACATCTGCAGGCAGCAATCCCGTGGCATGTGTACTTGTCACTTTACTATTCGACACCATAGACTTAGCACTTCAGTGTGCTACTGTTGGTTAGTTTGAATGCCGTCAGCATCAGATACCTTAGGTCACAAGCCGATTGTAATTATCCAGGGTTCAAATACTCTGAATCCTCTGAATTTCCTTCAATTCTAGCGACTCTTTCTTTCTTTGTGCGATTCCACAAGTGTGTATAAAGATGGGGAAGTAAATAATCAAAAATATTTTTTTTACAAAAACTGATCTCTACACAAAAATAGCATTTGCTGCCTACAGACGTTATTAAACCTGAGTACCTAATTGAATACTCTCTTTCAATTTCGTTTATGACTGTATAGTATATATGAAGTCAATTCGAACAGCTAACTGTTTTGTTTTTGGCATTACTCTCAACTACTAATAAAAAGTTCGTGTGGATGATAAAAAGTTCGTGTAGAATTATAAAAATAAAATAAATTTGGAAAAAAAAATACTACGCCGCCCATGCCATATACAGAAACTGCTGAAGTTTGGTAACAATTTAGTTTTCATGCTATTCGAATTGACTTCGTATACCCGTGAAATTCGATTGGTACAAGTTTTCATTTGTACCTGAGAAGTCTTTTCATAAAATTTTGGTGGCCGTAAATAATTTGGCTGTTGCAATACAACTTTTTTCTCGATAGAGCTTTCAAAACCATGTCTTCAGTTCATGATAATCTTAAAGTTTCATCTTCACAGTGTATTTTTGGGACTGAAAAACTCTTATATCTCTCACTTAGCACTAATCGTTTGGATTATTGCAGGGGCGTTATTTAGGCCGAAGGGCATTCACATATAAACAGGACCTCATCCCTAATGAAATTAATTCAACAAAAATAAGAAATTCTCTTTCTCATAGTTTAAAATCTACTTTACAGTGTCTTGCTCTTCTGGCTCTCACACAAGCCCGGCCGGAACCCCCAAGTGGTTACAGTTACCCCGCTCCCTCCATAGGCCTTGGTGGTGGACATGGACCCATTGTTGATGGAGGCACCATTGGAGCTATCGGCCTAGGAGGCCACGGAGGTGGTGGAGGTCTCTCCATTGCAGGAGGCAGCAGCGTAAGTGGAAGTTACCACTCTGGATCTTCCTCATTCTCTTCAGGTCATGGCTCCCACGGATTCAGCTCTGGGGGAGGATTCAGCTCAGGAAGTGGATTCGAGTCAGGAGGTGGATTCAGCTCAGGTGGAGGATTTGGTTCAGGCGGTGGATTAGGAGGAGGATTCGTTTCAGGCGGTGGATTCGGAGGAGGATTCGGATCTGGCGGTGGATTTGGAGGATTCGGATCAGGTGGAGGCGGTGGTTTCGGCTCCGGCGGAAGCGGTGGTTTCGGCTCCGGCGGAAGCGGTGGATTCAGCTCCGGCGGCCAACTAGTCCAAAAACACATCTACGTCCACGTACCCCCACCAGAACCAGAAGAGTTCCACCCACAGAGGCCAATTTCCATAGCTCCACCACAGAAACACTACAAAATCATCTTCATCAAGGCTCCATCAGCACCCACTCCAACTGTACCTACTATTCCTCTGCAGGCGCAGAACGAAGAGAAAACTCTTGTATACGTGTTGGTCAAGAAACCTGACGACCAACCAGAAATCCAAATTCCTACTGCCATACCCACTCAACCTTCCAAACCTGAAGTATACTTCATCCGTTACAAAACTCAGAAGGACTCGAGTGGTGGTGGATTTGCGTCTGGAGGATCCGGCAGCGGTGGACTTTCCCTGGGAGGTGGCTCGATTGGAGGAGGATCACTCGGAGGAGGATTAATCGGAGGTGGTTCAATTGGAGGAGGATTAATCGGAGGTGGTTCAATTGGAGGAGGATCTTTCGATGGAGGTTCCATTTCTGGAGGTCATCTGTCTGGCTCTTCCGTCTCTTCTTCATTCAGCAGTGGCGGTTCGTTTGACTCTGGCATCTCTCTGACCGGTTCAAGCCATAGCCATGAACATAGTCATAGCCATAGTCATGGTCATGGTGGCTCATCATCAGGCTCTTCTGGCATTTCTTCCAGCTACGGACCACCAGGACACATTAGCGGTGGTCCTCACTAAGCAACTAGATTGAATTGCAAACGCGTAGGGCTGGGTAGCTCTGTTTTAGGGCTTCTCAGTTGGACTAAAGACTTTCGAGATGTGATAATCTCAATTTCGTTCTTTGTACATAGTTCATTTTTATATTTAAGTACTTTTTTATAATGCTGTTCATGTACAGTCTCTTAATCAAGTGCGGTGACAAATAAATGTATTTTTCATTAGACAAATTTGCTAATTTATTCCCTTTTTCACAACCAAAAAGTTCAAAATTAAAAAGATTATAGTCGTTAAAAGGATTACATATTTTTAAAAACTCATTTTATTGGGAAGTAACGGTAACGCTGTGATGAGTATTTTCTAGACTCTCGAATAATATTCAAATGATGACTTAAAGTCGGGTAAGGTAAAACTGTGAAACAATTTTTTTCAAGGACAAAACACAGGCACCACAAAGAAATCTTTAAGACACTTTAAGAGCGGTGCCTGTGTGAAAGTAGCGATTCACGTTGGATTTCAATCACTCGAGATTAAATCATTTGGAACAACGCTATTAAGAATTTTATTCAATACAAACGCAGTTCTCCAAATAAAATCTGATATCTGATCAATTTTTTCAGTTGTGTCGATTTTCTGATATACAATTTTCAGAAAGGAAATTTTGTTCACTCAATAATCCTATATGTGATTTTCATTTTCATTCAAACATATTTCTATTTATTACACTCATACAATATATCATAGCTATGGAGGTAACTGTCCTTCAGTTCATTACCGTATGATTTTTAAAATAATTGAATGACGGCTTCAGAAATTAATAATCACAATCATTATTTCACTTTCGAAAATTTGATTTGTTATAAGTAACCCGACAACTACTAATTATCATTTCTGTATTGTTTTGGGACACCATTAGATTTCTCTATCACCGAATCGATGATTAAATAAAAAACCAGCATGGGGTCACTTTCTCCAATATCTGTCAGATGAATATTCAGTCAGCTGTGATTAATGTCATATTGATATACGATATTTGCGAGGATCAGTTCAGACTTTAAAAAATGAGGATACATGACGATTCATGCTGATATTACAATGACAAATATTTCTGTGAGATATTTGAAGATTATTCGGGTCACTAAGTGGGCTATTATTTTTATACAGAAGATACTTTTCTTTACTCAGTTTGTATTTCAAACATTCGTTGTGGAATAAAATCAGATATCATTCACATGAGTTCTACTTTAAATGGATGGTAACAAATTGCACTTACATGAAACACTGTCATCCTGACTGGTATACATCGATATTTCGCCGTAAGACACTTGCCCTAAGGCTCTTCAGTATCAAATTGGATAACATTATAGAAAATACACACAATTCATTCATGAATTACGATTTTTGATGTCACCGAATGAGCTTGATCTGCTTATGTCATCGATGACATTGTAATGACATTCATTCACCTATTCGATTTAATTCCAGCCAAGAGGAATCTTATTTGAATTGAAAGAGTGATTAATTTTCGGAAAAGAAAGTTTCTGGCTTTCTACTACTCCATCTCGATACAAAAAAAAGACATAAGGAAGTCTTCCAAAGAAAGGAAGGAAGTAATCAATTTGAAAGTGAGTAACTCTATACATGGATGTGTAGATTATGCAAAGAAGTAACTTTCAGACACAAACTGAAAGAAAGTCCTCCTGAAACAGCTACTTTCATATAAACATTGAATTACACGAAAGAAAAATGAATGTCATTACGATGTCATCGATGACATAAGCAGATCAAGCTCATTTGTAGACTTCCATCCTCCCGTGTCACTGTTTCAGAAGATCTTCTGCTTGTTTGCTAGCAGAATCAGGAGCAAATATAACGGATATTAAGAAGCACGGAGGATGGAAGTCTAAAACCATACCTGAGGGTTACATCGATCAATCTATTTCTTATAAAAAGGCTATTGTTGAAAGAATAATCCCAACAGCTTGCTCCAGCGTTACAGCATCGTCCTCTTTACTTCATGAGTTAAATGTTGATGCCCATGAAATTGTCAACATAGCTAGTTCGAATATATCACAAGGCTTTTCAATATCGCAAGGTATCAATATCAGCAGTTATTCTAATTGTACTTTTCATATTAATGTTCATAAATAATAATAATAATAATGTAATTAATGTATATAATATATTCGTAACATAATTT